AAAAACTGAATTATTATACAACCTACGCGCGAAATCTACACACCGACAGCAGCAACAGCAAATTGGTAAACTTTGACCATCGTTTGTTCGACGTCAATATTATGATTATGGAATTTTTTTTTCTTTGGCCATTTCTCAGTGTTTTTTTACCTACCTTTTTTTTCTCAAAAGACGATGATTATTGACATTAACACTTATGCACACACAGGGGGGAATAATTCCATTTTCTCATATAGTGATTTTTATTGCTTTTTATTCTTTTCTTTTCTTGCAAAGAATACAGGTATTTTTTACCTTTTTTTTGGTTGTGAGAGAGAGAGAAAATACAATCAACAAAACAAACAGACAATGCGAGAGAATGGAGGGAAGCCAATGTAGGCTAAAATCACCAACCACTACCCATAATGGTTGGAAATAGTTTTTTGGCTGGCTGGCTGACTTCGTTGAAAAGATTCGATTCGAATGTTTGCGCTTCATTCGAATTCAAATTCGAATCGATCATGGTGTGGATCTTATCTGAAAAAAATTGAAAAAAAACTTTTGTGATTTTTCAACGATTCTTTCTTTTTGTGTTTTGTTCCTGGTGGATACATTTGCACTTGTGAATTTCATCTTGTTTGTTGTTGAAAATCATTACGTCAAACGTCATATTAACCAGCCGAAAACAAAGCAAAATGATCAATTTCGTATGCAAATCCAAGTGAAAATTTATTATTATTTTCTGATGATTTATTGATTGATCAACACAGGGTAACCACCGTCGTCATCATCATCGTCATCGATAACAAACGGGTTATCAATGATGGAAAAATGAAACAAAATAAACACAAATCGATCACCAAAAACAAAAAAATATTAATCAAACAAACACCATATGGTTTTTTTTTGATACATTTATTTCCGAAAAAAAATCAATAATCATTAATCAAACAACAGGATTTTTGTAAAAATCATTTTCGCCATAAATTTCACCCAAAAAAATATCGATTGTTTTTATCATCGATTCGAACGTTTTAAAACCATTCGATTAC